CACACCTCGCGCCCCAGAGGCCCTGTCCTGCTGGGTACTACTGCCCTATCCTCAGCTTGTTTCAGGGGGATTTTTGCCATGAGGGGCTTGGAGCTTGGAGCGGTTTAGGGTTTAGGGTTTACCGGGTTCGGTTTAGGATTTAGGATGTGGTAGGGTTTGGGGCTTGGTCGTGTCAAAACAGGGCTCTTTCAGCTCGCCCCTTTTCTCCCGATTTGCGTTCGGGATCTGCGTTCTGGGTAGGTCTTCTCATTCGTTTTCTCATTCCAGGATACAGCACAAGGCACGAGCTTAATATGCGCAGAGTGCAGGAGTGCTTCCATGTGTTCGAGCCGAGAACTTCATCTGATTGTAAAGGCGCCCTCAACCTGAACTCTGGCCAGACATCCTCGCCCTGCTCACCTGAGAGTCGATATTCAACTCCCAATCCAAAACAATGAGGCCCCACGTCCTTGCTGGCGGAGGAGTGCTACAAGGGCAGCTTTTGCCCAGCGCCTCGTTTCTAGAAATTGGACTGTTTGGATTCAAGGTTAGGAGAGTTTTGTAAGTTGCAAGCCAGGTCATAGTTCAGGGTTCTACCTAAAGGAGCCTGGGGGTGCAGAGGGCTTCTGTGTTATCTTGGAACCAACTGCTTCAGAAGTTGCTTGGCTTCATGTTGTCCCTGCTTTTTGTGTTAATGTAGGGGCCTTATAATTAGAACAGGGTTTTGGGGGGTGTTCCTTGTTATAATTATAGTATAATAGATTCCAAACCCTCTTCTAATGCTTATTAAGGCCCCTATATTATCTCTTCTCTCCATACGAAGTTGAGGTATACGGCTTTCGTACCGTGGAAACAGCCACGCCTCGCCTTGTAAAAGTTGTGCTGCCTGCCGGTACGTCGTACGACCGGACATTGCTGCGGTCGAAACAGCCGTGTCACATCGCTGCAGGTAACGCGCACTCCTCAGAAGCCCTAAGTCAAGATCCTGTCCTAGCAGGCACTACTAAAGTTACTAAAGCTTCAGGAACGTATTCCTTTAAACTCTGACCTCCCCCCACCGTACCCTTCCCCCATGCCAGCAGATGTAAAGCTGTGAACCTCAATCAATGGTCATGTGGGTCTCGGAAAGCTTTAAAACAAGACCAAGGAGGGCTCGCTGGTTCCGCGAATCTGCAAGAAGGGCGCGGGACCCAGGAAACCCACAAAGTACATTCATTCCTTGTTGTCGGGTTGGGGTTTGAGGATCCTGTTTCGGATTTAGGCGGAGAGATAGGGGTTTACGGGGTAGAGTAGGCTGTGGCAATAGGGCATGTGCACTGCAGCCACTCCCGGCCGCGGGCTAGCATCTAGGGTTTGGAAGTGCAGGGTGTTTGGGGTTTCGGGAGCCCCTTTTTGCTGATTGCTGAGATACTGTAGCCTGCTTGAGTGGATGCACGCACACACACATACATATACATATACATATACATAACTATATTTATTTATTTATTTATTTATTTGTTTATCTGCATGGGCCTAACATTTGGCAGTCGTTTTCCCTATCCTCCCTCCGATCAGAACATTGTGCCGTGCCCTGTTCCTATTATTCAGGCTCCTATGGCCTTCCGGGTCTATCTTTAGTGAAACCAGGGGTTCAGAGTTTAGGGCCAATTTCGGTTTCAGAGTTTTGGGTTTTGGGGTTTAGGTTCAGGGCGTAGGGTTAAGGGCGGGGGGAGCTTCCGCGCGACGAGGCGAGAGGGTTATGGGTTCAGGGTTTAGGGTTCCGGGTTCAGGGTTGACGGGGGGTTCGAGGGCTCGTCTCTGCTTGGGCACACGTTTTGAGCAGAGGGAGCTCCCGGGCGCCGAGGCAAGCCCGCAGAAAAAGGGTTTAGGGGCTGATACAAATCACGTCTTCGGTATCGGCGACAGAGCACAGAGGTCGCGAATCCGAGCATACACTGCCTTGGCACGTGGGGATTTAGGGTTTGCTTAGCCTTTCAGAGTTTATGGGATTTAGGATTGTTGAGTGCAGGGTCTCGTGAGGTTGATCATGTGATCATGAGCCGCAGGGGCATGGTTGGATGACGCCAATCTCTATCGGTGGACTTAACACAACACGGCAGCTCTGAGCCCGACAAAACCAAATCCCTTGCACCAAAGATCCCAGTCAGTTAGGCTTAGAGGTTAGAGCTTAAGGGTTTATAGGGTTTAGGGTTTATAGGCGTTTATAGGAGTCAGCAGTCTTGCATCTGACCCTGCATCGCAGGTTCGTGCTAGCCACACGGGAGGCTAAAGAATCCAAGTCCCGAAAGCCTGAACCCTAAAGCCTGAGCAGTGAGTAGTCCTACACCCCAAGCCGCCCTAATTTGGTTAAAGCCCAAGTCCCACAGTCCTATAACCCTAAATAGCTCTCTTACTAGGGTCTGCTGTATGGGGTTAGTGTTGTGACTTCTTCTCTCATCAGCGTCATGTGTGCTCTCACTCCTGTTTGATGCGGACTTGTCGTCATTTGCCTCGCCTGAATTGTCCGAGTCTGAGCGCCGAAATCGCCCCAGACCCTAAACCCGCGGCTACTGCACCAGCAATTTCGGAAAAGCGCCCGCAACAAAAATAGGCCCTAAACCCCCTAAACCCTAAACCCGATTACAGGCTCCGCCTATGGGATGAGATGATTTTGCATGACTCTGCTTGCATCGGTGACGTGCTGCTTCTCGACCTGTGCTGTATGCCCGGTAAGCAAACTCTCCGAACCTTGCCGCGCCTTCCCTTCATACTGTGTGTCTGTAGAATAACAAACCACTACCCCGCGACAGTGGGAGCCATGACCTTTGCCTTGCTGCAACCGCCAGTGATGCTGAACACGGGGCTTGAGCCCCGCCGCCTGTGGATGTTCTTGAATGAGCTGGACGTGGATAGTGCATCTTATGTGGCGCTGCATTTGCTGGCTTTGGTTGAGGCACTGAGGGAGATGCAAGATGTGGCAAGGGAGCCGTTGGTCCGAGTATACTGGGCACGACTGGAACATGTCTGCGAAACCAAGTACAGGCCTGTGCGTCTCAACGAGGTGACAGCAGATGAGAGGGTCTTGCAAAACATTGTTTCTGGGCTGATGAGACGGCTACGCTTGCGAACGTGGTTCCTGATGTCAGCTTCCAGATTGGGCAGTGGTTTGGACACTGACAGCAGCTAGGTTGACCAACATACATTGTGTCTGGGCTGATGAGACGGCTACGCTTGCGAACGTGGTTCCTGATGTCAGCTTCCAGGTTGGGCAGTGGTTTGGACACTGACAGCAGCTAGGTTGACCAACTTTTGTTGGTTGTGAGCTGGAGTTGCTGAGCCACTGCACTGGTACATGGCATGGAGGATGAACTGCAAGGGAATTCGAGAATGTGAATTCACATGCCTGTGGAATTCTGGAGTGCGCATGATATACGGTGGCACAACAGAGAGACTAACCTGCATGCAACCTGCATGTCGTGCTGTGCCGAGCCTTGGAAGCACAGCTGCGTGAACACCCTGCATGATGTTTTTCTGAATTTGACGCTGTAACGACCGCTGCAAGCCCTTTGGTGGATGAGACGAGGTGAGCGTGAGGCAGCCTGTAAATGAGACCAGTTGAGAACATGTTAATTGAATGCATGCCCATCGCCTGCATGACAGGGAAACTGCCTGGAACTTGAGGAGTAGTACGATCTTTTGAAACAGCGAGCAGTCGCTCGACATCTGCGGTATTGCTTGATGAACCACGCCTTAACTTGTTCAGTGGTATGTTTCTTGTTTTTCTGATCACGTGGTTGTCAAGCATTCTGCGTGTAATCTCGTCATGTGGAGACTGAACTATGCGGAGCCTTGCCGGCCTTGTGCGAGTGTGAGAGTCGAAACCCGATAGGTCCTAGAACCCTAAGCAACCATAAACCCTGAGTCCTAAAGTCCGTCTAGCTTTTCATCAGCACCCCCGACTACTTATCGGTGCCTTTCTGAGGCTTCTACTGCCCGAATCCCTGTGAGCAGCTGAAGTGTCCGGAAGGCGCGCTCTTCTAGGGTTGCGGTCTGCGCTGTAGGGTTTAGAGTTCAGGGTTTGGGTAAGGGTTGCATGGGCGCTGGCCGGCACCTCACTCCGTGCTGAAGAGAGTTCAGGGTTTAGTGCTGGCCTCCCCTCTGAATTGGGTAGTTGTCAAAATTAGGGTCCCTTTTGGGGTACCCTAAATAATAGGTGCCGTATTATAATAAGGACCCAAAAAGGGACCATAATTTTGACAACCACCCGAATGGCAGAGTCTGGGTTCCAGGATGGTTTGGGGTTTAGGGTGTAGCGTCTGCCACCCAACAAGAACTGCTAAGGCTTACGTCTTTCAGGCTCTAGTCTTTTGGGGCTTTAAGGGGACAGTTCTTAAGGAGTTGACTAGGTTGCGGGCGCTAGGGCTTTACTGTTTAAGGTTTCTTTTTGGCACGGGTTGGGCTTGGAACTTCAAAGGGTTAGGGCTCAGGGCTTCAAGGGCGCTTTATGGCTTATGGCCTGGTACATACTATGGCCGCCATGGGGCCTGCGTTTGGTGACACCGGACGGTCACGAAAGTAGACTGTCTCCTTCATGCAGTCGCGTAAGCATGCATCTTTTTATGTGCACACTCCACGTGGTACATGTGTATGGGCATGTACAAATCATTAGAAAGACAAGCAGATGGATCGATGTCTTGGTGTACATTCTTCTGACAAGATGTTGCTGTGCATTGACGACAACTTGGGACTGTTTGGAAACTCAGGGGAGCAGAGGGCAGCTGCGGTCTGAGCGGTACATGTCAGACCCTGGGCACCCGCCGAAATCTGCAGCCGTTGGACAAAGAGTGCCCCGCGATCTGCAGAATCAACATGCAGACCACGGACTGCTCATCATTGTCAGAGATCTAAATTACCTAAACCCTAAACCCTAAACCCTAAATTACCTAAACCCTAAAACCCCAAACCCTACACCAAGCCCCTCAACTTTTTGAGCTCCTCTGTCCGGTACAGAAGCGCACGGGTGTTAGTAGTTGCTAGGGATGGAGAACCTCCCCGAGTTGCCTGAAGGAGTGACCAAGGTCACCAAGCGCCACCCACCGACGCGGAAGTTCTTGCCTCCAAGTTTGGGGGATGAGGTGGAAGTCAAGTTTTCATTGGCTACTTCTCAGGCCGAACTGCTGGGTTGCTCGGAAGAGATCTGCACGTACATCGCGGGTCAGCATTTGAGTCTTCCTGGTCTGGACATCGCGGTACAGCGCCTTTTCAAGGGCGAGCAGGCAGACTTTGGCATGGCCTCCAGCCTGGTTTATGGCAGCTCCCTTCCTGCTGAGCTGTCGCCTGAAAGCCTAGTCACCCTCTCCGTCGAGCTGGTCTCCTGCCCTTTGCGCCAGGACAGCCTGAAGAGAAGAGCCGCGGGTGTGAGCACTCAACCGAGGGTTCAGAGAGTTCCGGACTGCTTAGGATGGTGCTCTTGGTGTTTTGCTTATGGATCATCAAGATGCTCTTTTTGCTCTCGGTCCAACCATAGCCCGAAGCCATCTACGCTCCCTCCTTATATGGACCTTATGTGTATGTATATATATATATGTATATATAGGGCTGTGTCTATGTATGTATGTGTATATATATATATATATGTATATGTATTTTGTTTTGTTTGTTGTTTATTCATATCTCGTTTGTTTGTTTTTATGTGTGTATATATATATATATGTATATATGTATATTCTAAGCCAAACCACCGCAGCTTAGAGGACATCTTCGGCGATGGGGGAGCTCTTAAGGAGCTTCGCAAAGCGACGGACGGCCGCCCACCCCGACCGGGTGATGAATGCCAGATCAGCTACGAGGCTGGAAGCCGAAGGGAGGTTAGTGTTGAGGCCTTCGCTATGGACTTAGTATTGTTCTAGAGTCTTAAAGGATCAAGGGGCATCATGGGCATCGGGTTTCCATGTTTGTGTCTCCCAGGTCATCATTCATGAAGCTGGGAACCGGAACAAAGATCTTCCGCAATTGCCCGCGCGAAAGAACCTTGCACTAGACCTTCCACTTCGACCTCCCAATCTCTAAGGCGATAGACCAAAAACACTAAAGCCTAAACCGGAGCTCACTGCAGCTGTGCAGGTCCTGGCTGATGGGGCTCAGGTGATGGCTGCCAAAGCCGCCGTGTACAAGAGCCTCGCACTCTCAAGAGTTTGTTGGTCTCGCTTGTCGTGGCAGCAACGGCGCCGGGTAGCAGTGCTAGCATCAGCAGGTCTATGTCTGCAAACCGACCGGGGGTTTTACTATTCGTCCTTCTGGTTGTTATAGTGGTGCTGAGGGTGAAGGTGCTGGTGACAACGAGGATGAACATGGTTTTGATGCATTGCTGTTGCCAGCAGCGGCGCAGCAACGGGGCTTTATGCTCTGAAAACTGGCGGTAGTCGTCTTCATGGATGGGCCTGGGTGCATTGGGCTGTACTGCGCGATTCATTCATAGCAGTCCTAGCATTAGGTGTTGCTCTTGCTCTCTCTGTCTTAATGGGCTGTTGGCCTCATTTCTCCCGATGTTTTCGTGTCGCGGGGTGCTCTAGCTTCTTCGTTTATCGACCTTCCAGCCTGTATAGAGTTCTGTATGCTTATGTCGAGGGAACAAGGGAAAGCGGTAGAATAGCACAGATTGGGAGGGCCTGATATGCTGTTGCTTATAAGCAAGCCATTAAACACAGCGTCGAAGTCATTCAGTAAAGCGACTATCCCAATTAACACCCCAACAACATCATGTTGGCTTTGGTGCGTTGTAAAAGGGTCGCCCGTTTGGCCGAGTGCATGCGTTGTCGGCTTGGATTCAGCCCAGGATTGGAGGCGAACAGCTTGGTCAGATTGCGCGCGTGATGGACAAGGCGCACACGGCAAGCTTCCTTGGTCTCGAATTCCAACTCAGGCACAGCATAGGTCATGCAGGGCAGGGCGCACTTCCATTTGCCTGCCTGGTGAACCGATGCTGTCATCTTGCGAACTACTCTTCGACAATTGTGTGTGTGCCGGCATCTCGGCGCTGGGTATGAGATGCCACCATGCATCCACCCTCCTCCCCTTGGGATAGCATCTTGCAAGGCACACATGCGGCAACCCTAGACCCTGCCCGCTGGTGGCACAGGCTTCCCATACTCAGGGCTCAATGCGGCACATAAACATAAAGATCCCACCGAGGAAGCGCGTAGCTGCCACACTGTTTGGTATGACATGATGAACTGGAAACCTCTGGGGCTTTGCCACCAAAACTATTTCGGAAGATCTTTACGCGGTCACGGCGTTGACTCTCTAAATGTGACTATATCTATCACCACATAAAGATCTCACGCAATTTGTCGTTGCTCATTTTTGTAGACCACATAAGGATCTCACTAATTTTTCGTCATGCGAAAACTGGACCGGAGAACCAGGTCCCTCCTCGTTGGTGAGATCTTTATGTGGAAATTCCTTTGTGTGCCCAATTTGCTTCCTACATACGCGTCATGGGGTTGGAGCAATCTTCTAGATCATGTTGGCACGAGATAACGTGGGTTCAAAGACATAGTGGCAGGGTGCTTGTGCAAGCAGAAGCGTCTCGAAGGTGCTGAGAGAGCATGGCATGCAAAACATGGCATTAGACCACAATACCAACCAAACGTTGAACTATGCTAAGAGAATTCCATGCCACCAGTGAGTGCTGAGTTATGAGGCGCTGCTGTCCATGAAGCTTGGAGAGGAGGCGCTGGTGTCTTGTAAGGCAGGCTACACTATGATCGGCGACTCTGATAAGAAGCCTGTGACCCTCTACCTTTCTCTGGAGGACGCGCTGGTAGGAGTTGAAGACCCAAGAGGTGCAGAAGTCACAGGCTTTGTGTTGGTTTCTGGGCCTGTATTTATGTTCAGTCTTCGCCTGCAGCTCAAAGGCCAAGTGCCAAAACGAATCGAAGGTGCAGTGTGCTGTGGTATAGGTCTCAGCTAGCAATGTCAGCCAGCTCCTCAGAAGCTGTCTGCGTAGCCTGAAAAGGAAAACAGCTTACGCACTCTGCAAAGTGACACCGTGAAGTATCCGAAACCCATAGACTCACAACCGACACATTAGGGAACAGGGAAGGCTTCTGTGAGATTTTATCGGTTGGCTCAAACCAGTATACCACGCCCTAAATCATACTAGGTACCTTAAATTCATAGTCAGGATCCGTCCCTCATCTCTTGGGTATCCTGGGCTCTCTGGCGAGGAAAGCTCTAAACCCTAAACCCTGTTCGCTGGTGTGATGGCTTCGTTGTGGTCTGGTTATTGTTGATTCGGGTTTCTGATTTTCTTTGTCCATCTATTGCTGATGTCCATGTAGCAAGCTCGGACATTCTTGCCATGCCTGCCTTGTGCGAGTGTGTGAGTTGAAACCCTGTTCCCTAAACAGGAGATTTACCAAGTGCACGATGTCAGCCTCGGATCCCTGGACGGAAGCGTCCTGCGAAAGCGGATAAAGGAGGGAAGTGGCCCGGACAAGCTGGATGACACGGGGAAGGCGCGCCTCACAGCGTGCTTTTTAGAGGTCACACGAGAGAAATAGGATGCCAACCGCAAGACATGTCATTTCTGTCTTCTTGCGTGGATAAAGATTGTAGGGGTACCGTTCATTTGCCCTTGAAAGAGCACTGAGGTGTGCCTGCGGGTGCACAAGATTGCGGCGAATGGGGTGGAGAAGGGTGGCACGGCGTAAGTGTTTGTTTTTTTCTCGTCATCACCTTTTGCGATCATCTGAACCATGGTCATTCCATGATTGCCGTCCCCAATTAAGCCTGACCCTAAACTCTAAAAACAAACCGGGGAGTAGGGGCAAAAATAACAATAACATAAAACCCGAGTCATATATCGCCTAAATCCTGTCCTAGGTGATAGTAGGGAGACTCCTTAAAGGGGACCCTTCTTAACCCTACTTGTGGCTTTCTGAAAAGGGACCTTATTGAGAGGGTCTATATCCCCAAGGTCCCCCGAATCTTAACTCCAATCCCGAGGCCCCAAGCTTGAAAGCCAAAATTCTTAAACCCGACACCAAAGCACCGACAACAAAAAGCTAAGGGTTTAGGGGTCAGGGTTTTTTGGGTTTGGGGTTCAGGGTTTCCTTTTTTGGGTTTAGGGTTCAGTCGTGAGAGCTGAACTTCTGCAGGCTCAGACATTCAGGCGATTGCACACGTACCCTAAACCCTAAACCCTAAACCCTAAACCTAAACCCTAAACCCTAAAGTCCTGATGC